CGCAGTCTGTGTGGAAATCAGTCTGCTGCGCATGATTCGCTGAGGTGAAGAATTTGCCTCACTCCGCAAGTTGCATCATACCTTTTATTCTCAAGTACTTTGCTCTAGCGCAGGATGGAAGAGCGAAGTCCTGCAGAGTAAATAACAGTTTCAGTCAGCTTCCCAAACATGGCAACTTGACAGACACATGGCCCGCGATGGGACTCTGGACGCCATGTAAATGGCCATTACCATAGCCCCATGGGCAAATGCCAATTACTGGGCAACGGGTAAATGCCAAAACTCTGTGGTACAACTTAATTTGATTACATTTCCATCATGAAGTATAAACACAGTTTTGCTGCTTGAATGAGACAATTACAGGCCTCCCGAAGCTAAAGAACATCGACAGCACAGCAGCGGACTGTTCCTCAACAATGTACGTCGTTATCGTTTGTCACACAGCAACATGTTTGAGTGACTTGGATTTTCTTTAAAAAAAAAACACCTTTAACTGTCTGTTCACTTGTAGTGTGGACAAGAGCCGTTAGCTTTCCATGTTTTAGTTCATTAATTTGACAAATAGTTCCTAAACTATGACTTTGCTAGTCCTGAGAAAGAGTAGCAGAACTTTAGTGTACTTCTGTTTTGTTTTTCAAGGAGGTTACTTCTAAATACTCTTAAAATATTTGGTCTACTATTATTTGTCTTCAGCTTTTGTCACATTTCTAGATAAGATGGGTCTCATCCTTGGATAATCGCAATTGATTTTTTTTTTCTCCTAACCTAACCTTGAGCCTATTCCCATAATTTATCATTTCAATTTGTTGATCCGACAATTTCTATTTCCACGGCCTCGAGGTAGTTTGAAAATATTACCTAGTAATGTAATGTAGTGAAGGGGTTTCTTCACTCTCCAGTTGTTCCCAAAGGGCCTGACACCAAGGAAAAAAAGATTCCGACACACAGAGGAAAAAGTCCAAGGACTGTAGTTAAATAACTAAGTGGGCAAATAATGATCTAATATCAAGTCTGCAGCTCCTTCTCCCATCACTGATATATTTGTTTATTAGCAGTATCACCTTTTGGCTCAAGGTTGGTCTCTTACTTTGCAAAATAACAGGAAATGTGTTCCTTCTCCCTGAGGAACAAGAAAAAAACCCCACCATATTCTTCTTGGACTTCAGCGTTGAAAATTTCAGAGCCAGTTAGTCATCATAGCAGAACTGCTCTGGTTAACTCTAGTTGTACCGAGGTCGACATGGTCGACATGCAACCTACTGTTTTCAAAAATCACAACAACAAATTCTCTGCCTTCACCTTAAACATATATTTATCCTCCTCCTCCATTGAACGTTTACGTCATCAAAGTGGAACTGATGTAAAAATTGTCCTGGAGATCAGGGCATGTTGGCAAATAAAATGTAAGTAATGCACAAATCAAACACGCAGCGGCAGTTGACAGAGCCAATCAGCATCAGGGAACTGATTTCTTGTCAAATTTCTACTTGACTCCCGTGACACGAGGTGGTGACACTGAAGCTGGGGCAGCAGAGGCTGTCCAATCGCCGGCAAAAGGATCAATATGAATGGCATTGATTGCAATATCTTCTAAACTGACACACTGCTAACACGTGTAGCATCCATCTTTAGCTGTCCCAACACAGCTTGTGATGTCATGTCTTGAGGGCATACGGATCACAGTCTGCAAATCTGCATGCAGGTGCGTTAAAACTCAGACGTGATAAAAAAAAAATGGATCTCAACCAAAACTCCTAATTGAGCCACGAAATCTGCAGTTTGATCGTAGCTGAACTTCTGGGTTCACCTCGTCTCTGTCTCAGCTGCGATATGTTCCATTACACTGAATAAAGTAACCACCGGTCACATGAACAAACACGTGTTGACAGCAATTGGCCGTCGGAGAAAAGCAGCCAACCAACCGGCCCAGCATGGGAGAAAGGCAACAAGTCTGATTTGGAAGTGGCGCTGCCACCACATCCCACCTGGGGGCCGTGCAAACCACGAGCTGGCCTTTCTGGGCACCATCCACATCATGGAGTAAAAATAAGCATTCAGTCCAAGTTTTTCGACAGACATCTGTTAGCTCTCTGGAGGAGTAAACATGTTTAATTGACTCAATCTCAGCAGACAGGAGGGATGCATATGTCATAAATATCCGCTGCGTTTAATTATGGTATAGCTGTGCAGTTATACTGCTCCCACTGCCACATCATCTGCCTCATGTGGGGCTTGTAACATCAAAGTGCTTTGAATTAAGGAAAACTGAATTGTTTTATTACGGCGACGCTGGATTCGGTATCATGTCTAAAATCAAACGCCTGCGGACGACGTGGCAGCATTCAAAGTATGTGGGTCTACTTTTGCGGAGTTCCCCGAAGCCTAAGCCTTCTATTATTTGTAATGGAGAGTCATGCACGTGGGCGTGCACACACGCCGGTTCATCATCAGTCTTTGTTAGAATGAAGTAGATGCCTCTGATTCTATTAAAACTGTATTATATTTCTCTTGATGGAGATGTGTAATCTTGTCCTCATTGATTTTTCTATCTTTCTGTGCTTGTGTTTTTTCGTGCGTGTGTTGGTGTGTGTCACTGATGCACTGTGGGTGAATTGTGTTCCAGTGCCCGCATTAGAGCAGAGGATTTTATTCACACAGCCATTCAGAATGTTTTAAACAAATGCTTTTTTTTTTTTCTTTTCTTTTTTGCAAGCATGGTGGATTATCATGAGATTTTAAAGATCTGGAAATGGCTGACAGCTGCCAAGCTGCATAATAACATGTGTCCAGAAAATTATAGCAGCTGCCTGTTTGTGTACTGTCAATGCTGCTCCCTAGATTAAAGCTTAACAGACAGGAACATGAGCATCGCCAAGCACAAATACACACACACACACATTTTCTAGACAATGTACAATCACTGAGCTTCACAAAGCATTCATAAAGATTTCCGTAGTTGTTTCTTTCAGAGGAAATAGAGAGAGAAAAAAACAGGTAATTTTTGTATATTTTATATTTTGATGATTGGAATCTAAATGAGTCCTAAGACGTCCTGCTGGGAGAGGCCTACAGCAGTAGAGAGCCCCCCCTGTGGACTCCATCAGGTACCCTCTCGTGCAATGTAGCAGCCTTGGGTTTTAAACACAGCCTGAGCCTCGGCTGGATCTTGATGAAAAACAAGTACATGACACCTCCAGTTCCTTGGGGGCCTGATGTGCCTGTGTATCGCTTAATTTATGGCACCCTCCCAGGTCCTGTGCTCTCAGGGAACGACTTCAGCATCCCTAGATTTTATGCACAGGCACAGCCACAGTGTCTGTCATTTGCAAATATGGATGCCCCGTGAGGACGAGATCTGCCTCCTCCTTCTGGAGAACAAGACCTCTCTGAGTGACGAGTGGATCCCCCGCAAAGCCACTGCAACTGCGTCCCCAAACCAAACCAGCGATTGTGCGTGTTGGAGAAAGCTCTTCTCAATTAAGTGAGCAGGCAGACAGAGGAGTGAATCTCTCACAAATGCTAATGAGCAGCCGGGAACATTCAAGGGGGCATGAACGCCAACTGCATGAATGAGAACGAGGTCTGTTTGGGGAGGAAAGGTAAAACCCTGTGAAGTAGCTGGAAGGGCTCAACAGTTCCTCGCAGACTTCAGGCATGTTCACTTGAGGAAGGAATTGTAATAACAGCTAAGGGAACTGTGCCCTGCATAACAAGAGAGTTCCTTTTCAGATAAGCTGCTGTGCACTTAGGAGGAATGTGACTAGTTCAAAGACAAACAACCAGAGAGATTATGCTGTTTTTAGCACGCTGGTGCACAGAACGCTGCGATTACAAGAGGACGAGTGCAGGAGAGTCACTTCTCAAATTAATCGACTTTTAGCACAAGACTGTGTTTCTCCCCAAGGAAACCACACAAGTAAACGACTCAAGGTCTTTGGTGGCAAACATGCATCATCTCATGGTCCTGTAGGCATCCCTGCAATAATAAACCAAATGATGCCCAGAGCAGCAGCACAGTGAATATGTGTCAAGCCTTTAATAATTTAGGAATCCACTGTGTGATTTGTCCACTTACCTTCAGTTGTGGGTGAAAAAACAGGGCTTAATTTCGGTGTTTATGAGATGTGGATGCAGGACAGGGTCCAGTGTGTTACAGTACTACTTCACTGCCCTGCTGGTCAAGAGGTAGAGGTCGCACTGACAGAATGACAAGTGAAGTGCCAAACCAATTTCACAGTAATTGCTCGATTAGTATCAGTCACGTCTGTGCCTTTAGCCACACGTCTCCGACTGTGCTGGACACCCATGGAACCTGACGCTAACCTTTTCACTTATTCATTCTGTACCACGTTACTTTCACACAGCTGGTGAGGAAGAGAGCCAGTGATGAGCGGACATTAGGCAAATGTAATTCACCCTTGAAATAATGGCCCTGCTTCACTTTCCCATAGTCATATTCCCACAGGTTAATGACTGCCTCTGGCTAATAAGGTGGTCTATAGTGCAAAAGGGGAGGGGGGGAGGGTGAGGGAGGGGACTCTGCACAGACTGTAAATTCTGAGGTTTCTCAGTCGAGGCCAAGAGAATTTCTCAAGATTTCAATAAAGAACTAAAACATTTGAACAGGTGATGTAAATCTTGCAGAAGTGATTACAGGATCAGAATTAGAAATACTTCACCGGCAGCTGGGGGAAACTGGGTCTATAACTACCACGGCACTGCCTCCTATGGTGAATTATTAATAACATAACTTTGTGTTTAGTGGCAGGTCATTAACCAGCAGTGTCCAGGCTGCAGCTCTCACAGCCTGGATGTGAGCAGCCGTTGATACAGTGGTGAAAACACATGGAAGATCCATCCAGTGTCATTTTAAAACACGCACCACAGTAAGTTTAAACCGTATTGTCGTTCAGCCTCAGTTCTTTCCTTTTTAGAACATCTAACCACAACAGCTGCACGTGAATCACATTAAAAAAAAAAAAAAAAATCCCGATTCTTACCTTGAGCCCAAGCGCTTAGGATGCAAGTGGCCGACAGCAGAATCCAACAGGAGACCCACACCTGTCCAACCTGCCCGGCTATGATCACGGTCCGCGGCGGCGCAACCGCTGCGCCCTCGGTGCGCATTCCACGCCGTCTCCACGCCGGGAACATGTTGCTTTGTGACCGCACACTCCCAGGCTGAGAGTCCGGGCTGGAGATGGTCCTGTGCGTCAGACCGCTGGCTGAGTGTGGATGGAGGAGAGACAGGCGCAGGGAGTCAGGCAGGGATGCAGGCATCCACGCTGTACTATGGAAAGCCTGTGGACAAGTCTCGCAGGAGCAAGGCGGAGTCAGTCCAATTGAATTTGCTCAGCTGTCAAGCGCAGCCAGACGGATTACTGACATCACCTTCTCACCACGGCGTTATAACAAACACGCACTGGGGAATACTAGTTAAACATGTAGAAACGCGCACTCTGCAAGTTCACAGATGTCCACAGTGACGTTGAGTTTGTAGCGTCCACAGAAAGAACACACTTCAGTTTTCTGGGTTTCGAACCACTTCTGCACATCCACCTCTCTGTTCCCCTACTGTGACCAGGAGCAGCAGCAGCAGCAGCAGGTCTGAGTGCCAGGAGTGTGTGCGTGGGGATATGTGTGTGAGTGTGTGTGAGTGTGTATGATGTTTGTAAGTGCGGACACTCAGTCTGCATCTCCCGACAGGTTGTAAAAACATTTCCTCATAAATATTTTGAGTTCAAGGCGTGTCAGTAGTTTTAGTCTGTTAACTCACTGTACATTCGAGCAGGTTTGTGTATGTATCGATCCTTACGTGGACCCGACAATGAGCGCAACCCAAGTACGGGCAAGTACACTGTGCACTACTGCCACCACGCGGCAGGTGGAGGTAGAGAACGTCCACTTAGACCAGCTGCTTTAAGGAGGAAACTGATGTTAAAACTGGATTTCAGATTTACCTGATGACATTTAGGTTTTTACTGGGAAAATATCTGCTGTAATATATTACTTTGGCGGAGGAAGAGGAAGTGGGTCGCAAATTAAAAGTAAGCTGCAGGCTGTGGGCCTTGTTTGGTGAACGGGTGATTCTCAAGGGCTGCAGCCTCAGGAGTCAGGACCCACATTTTTCCTGAATCAATAGACATAGCCTGAATTTAAACCCTCTCAAATGATCCTACCAAAATAACTGGGAAATGGTGGAGTGGTTAGTGTTCTTGCCTTACAGTAAGAAGATCATCGTTTCAATGCCTAGTTTGGATGTTGTCCCAGACCTGCCATCACTAGCTCCTCTTGCAGCTGAAAAAAAAGAAAGAAAAAAGACGAAGTCATAATGCTAAACATAATTGTCCACTTCTCAAGAATAGAGAAATCTGTGGATGCTGAGAATTTTTGTCAAGGAATAAGAGTCGAAATTAAGACAAAAATTAAAAAAAAAAAAAAAGATACTTCAGTGCTTGGTGGAAAATGGCTCCAAAAACAAGCATACAGCTGTTTTATTTGGTTTGTAATTTTCCTGTGGTCCAATTGATGTTGAATATGTTTTTTGTTTTTCAAATTTCTTCCAAAATGATTAATCACAGACACTTAAAATTTCATCTCGATTGTCACGATCAAAGACTGATTTTTTAAAAATCTGCTCAGTCTGCTCTTCGATGTGAATTTATTTTGACAAAGGAAAGAACTTTCACTGACCAACTGCAGTAAACGAATCAATGTTTGAGTCTCAGCTTCAGGAGATCCACACATCACTGTGGTAAGTACGCTGACACAATGCCACATAGTGAGTAGAGATACAGTACAAGTTTTCACATCACCCTAGCACCTCCACGCTCTAACCCAGAACTGTATCTAGGAGTTTTCAGACGGTGCCTAAGACACTGCTACATCAACACCTGAAATCCTTAGAGCAGGAGTAGATCATGAGCAATAAGAATTAAAGTTAATTATATTATACTGTAGGTAGATCACTTTAGCCTGGTCATTTGAACATATAGTCAAAAGAAACCAAAAAAAGTGTGGACACCCCTTACAGAAACCCTTGAACATTTTAATAATTCCTTCAGGCTAAGTTTTTCCAATTTACGTGTAATGAAAATATTTCCTATTTTTCCTGATATTTTCCAGTTCCTTCCCTGGAGGTATGGGCTTTGGGCATACAACCACAGGTTCCAATCCAGCAGTGGCCGGCTGGGGTGTGCTGAGACAGCACTCATTTCCTTCTGAAAGCATACCCTGCTCTCAAAGGAGTCATCTGATGAGTTAATGCAGAGGACAGATTTCATTGTGTGTATCAGTATATGGACCTTTGGCATTGACTCCCTTATAAATTGAAATGTTTTTCTAAGTATTGTTTTAATCTGCATATATAACTTACTTTAACCTGTTCTTTGCTGTCTACGAAACACGAACACAGGAAGTTCAGCAGTGAACACTGATACATATTTTAAACAGGCGACACAGGAATTATCCTGAATGGCAGACACTGTGTTATCTTCTCTAAACACTCAGTCCATCAGGCCGCCTCTCCCTGTCATTGATGGTAAACAAAAGGCAGGTTGAAGTACATGCAGGAGAGAGAGTGAGTGCACATGAATAAACCCAGGACATGTGGGCTGTGAGATGTTCACTCTGTTGTTTGTGCTCCTTTTGAGCTCTGTTTGGAAAATGCATGAGATCAAGGTCAACTTCAAAGAGCTGTCATCAGGCGTCTCTCCCTAAGAACTAATAGTATATCAGCACTACGAGGTGTTGGGAGTTTTGAGGACCGACAGTAGTATTCGCCAACAATAAAGGCTTCCGGTTTCCCATTAGCCAGGTAAAAAAAAAAAAAAAACATAGGCGTCATTCTGTATCTCTGTTCTTTTTATGCTCCTTTATAGTTCCACCGTGAATCTATTCCCCCGGCCTTTGCTCTACAAATACGTGCTTCCTTTTCCTCGTGTTATAATGTCTCCTTGCTGCCAGGGGCTCATTTGGTGTCATCCTCTGCTCCCTCCCTTTATTTCCTCTTTCCTCAGCCCGCTGCCACCCCATGCACCAGCCCCCTCCTGATAATGATGTGCTGATTATGAGGCTCTTAGGCCAGCAGATTGCTCTCCAGTCTCATTCGCATGCAGTGGAAAATTGCCGCTGTCTTGGAGCACCCACCCTGCTGTGCGTATCAGGCAGGTTGACATTAGCAAGCTGCTGAGAACGGTGCTCAGGCGCAAGGGCAGGTGCTCTGTCTCTGTCTCTATAACCGTTCTGCAGCACGGGAAGCGTAGGTTGCCTGATGCTACAAGCCACACTGGGGGGTGAGGGGAGGTGGGGGAGGCACCACAGGTTGATGTCAAACATGGAATTGTGTAGCTGACATTTACTCAGTACATACGCTTACTGTGGAGAGACTTTATTCACCATGTGAGACAGTGTTCCACTGTCTTAGACAAAACTTAAAACTCAGGGTCTGGGTTTGTTAATTTGTTACAAAAAAAAAGAAAGAAGAAAAAAAAAAACACTGTTGCCATGGTCAAAGACATAAAACTGCTATATTTTAAGGTAGAACAGACTCGTCCAAAAAGTCATTGTCCTTGTCTTCAAAGCTACAATGGTGGTAAAAAGATTTACACCAGGTAAAAAGCAGCATCCACACAAACTACAAATGTTGCAGAGCAATGCATCATATTTTGCAATTTGGATCCTAGTCTACACCATTGTTTCCCAAAGACTGGGTCGCAAGATGGTTTTTTTTTTTGGGTCATCTGGCATCATGTTTCCCAGGAGTTTACAAATATTGACTTAGTCATGAAGGTTTGTGACTTTTAAAATACACCCCCCCAAAAAAACAAAGTTTGGGAAACACTGGTCTAGACCAGCGGTGGCCAGTAAGTAGATCAGGATCTACCAGCAGATCACAAAGGAAGTGCTGGTAGATCATGAGAAATTCAAACAAAAATGAAAAAGTTATACATAATAAATATATTAAAATAATTGTTTAAAATATGAAATCTATAGTGTGAAGTACTGACCATATACTGCGAGAGCCGGATCCTGTTGTGCCAAATGTTCCTGCGTTCAACAGAATGTACTATACAGACAGAAATCACAAAAAGCCTTTAGAAACTCTTTCTTATTCCATCAGCCAAATGATTCAAAAGAGCCTAATTGGAATGGCTGTTATAGATGTGACACTGACCTTGTGACGCTACGCTAATTTATTCAGGGCATAAGCACTGGGTGAAAAGAGGTCTGGCTATATGGACAGAAAAGTTACTGTGGTTTTAAAGGGACGATCAGCTCAGCCATTCACTCCAACCCTGTTATTCATTCACTTCTGTTCCTACGTCTCTGACACACATGCTGCCATCATCTAGTTTTCAATACATGGATATGTATTGGATATTGAAACAAAAGGGATTCTAATAACTGCCAGAAGACACACACACACACAGAGAGAGAGAGAGAGAGAGAGAGAGAGTCACAAATATGTACAGTAAATACACTGGTGGAGTTAAGAAACCCTGTATTATTCCTGACACTTGATATGTGCTGTGGTGTCTCACAGAGAAAATTGTGTTTCTCCCCAGTAAGCTTATCATCTCATGGTTCTTTCTCTGAATCAGTTGTAAACTCCAACTGCATGGGAATTGAAACATGAAAAACACAAACAAACTGCTTCTGCTGCAAGATGTATAACTGCATCTGGGCAGAGACATCAGAGGCGGCCATTATATGAGATGTCACTGTCTCAGATCAGGGGTTGGTTTTTTTTCATTCAACAATTTGTGTGGCTCTGTGATGCTTCCACCTTTTACCGCAGAAATCCGTGCAGCACATGCTGATAATATTGTCTATAATGAAAAAAAGAAAAAGAAAATCTAAATAACCTACAGATATCTGGAGACAGAAACCAAAAACATGTGGGAGCTTGACGTGATGCTACCTTCAGATACAGCTTTAGATTAATCATTAATGAAGTATTTGTAGCTTCTTGAGCAGATCATTACTGACACACACACTTGTTGCTCTTGTACCTGGCAGGATGCACTTCAATATCTGTGGTGAGATGTTTAAAGAATGAGGTAAAAAGTTTGTGCAAAATAAAGTAATATTAAAACGTGATTATAAAAACTATTGCATGAACAATTTAGGTGACATTTTCAAACAACTACTTTTTACTTTGGTCTAAGTTTTAACCAACTTTGATTCGTAGAACCACAGTTTTTTGGACGTGTTTTTCTGGGAGTGCTGTTGGTACTGTTTGTTTTTTTTCCCTGCTTTGTTTTGTTCTTTAGAATTTCCCTAGTTTCCTCCCACAGACTCCTTTGTCTGTTTGTTGTTGTCATTTAGTTCCTAAATACCTTAAACAATAGCACATCTAACAAATACCTTTGGTAAAACCATGTACTATTCTGTGCTGTTTAAAAAGACCAGATAGTACATGGAATATTAATAATACTAAAATAATAAGACAGAAGTTGTTATTACCCGTGGGGCATCTGACTTAAGAATATTGCCTTGAATCAATGGCATAATTGGTCTCCTCCAGTCTCGCTTCGATTTAAATAGCATTAGCAATTTTCTAGTCATTTTGCATAGATCTGCCACTGCAGTATTCTGCCCCAAGAAGCAGCTGGAAATTGAATGCCTTAAACTAGAGATGTGGAGCGTACATTTTATTCACGTCAGAGGAATGGCCCTACCTGAAAGATGCAGCATTATTGGGATTGATTCTGTGCCTCGCCACTGGCAATTCCTGTCTACCACAGGCTGACAGAAATGAGCGCGAGAAATAGCTTAGGCCAACAAACACATGCTTACGCATTTCATTTGAAGGCCGCGGCGGACTCAGCACCAGTCTGCGCTCTAAACTGCCACTCAGGGCCGAGTCTCTCTCAAACCATTCTTTACAAGAGACAAGTTTGGTGACAAGCTGGCATTTGTTTAGTGATGGCTGTGTTGTTGTTCATGCCTTTTCTAAGATGGTTCTAAGATGGCTCTCTCATCTGTCGTTCCCGGTGACCTCCAACACTATGATTTGGCTGTTCACGAGGCTGGTCGAACCTCGACGGACGATGACAAAAGGCTGACAGAACATCAGCAAAGACTGACAGACAGCACTCAGACAAACATGTCTAGTTGTGGAGGATCTATCACTGCTGACTTTCATTTCGGCCAGATCCTATCAGACATGGAAATACAGTAAGGACCTAAAAATCTAAAAACCCTCCATGGTACAAATCGGTGCTGTTTGTTGGTTTGATCAAGAAGATAGAAGACAACTTTGCCATTAATAAAGTAAACACACCAAGACATTTGATTCAAAAAAGGACAAACTTTGCTGAATCCATCGTGTTGGGGAGGTGTTTGGTGGTTTTTCAATTCATCCATCGTGGGGAGGTGTTTGGTGGTTTTTCAATTCAAAAAATTCTGGGATTTGAATCAGCAATCATAAAAAAACAAATAAAATGTGCCTACCATATTAGTGGCATAATTTTATCCTTTTTAAAGCCTTTATATTATTTGGAACAGATAAACTATATTTCAAAGGATCATGCGCAAACATGATTAAAATTAAGTGTTCTTTACAAAATAATTATAAGTGTATTTTCCAGACCTCTTGGTTAGTATTCAGAGCAGCAGCCTGCAGCTCGTCTACTGCTCTTATTTCTCTCTGTAAAAAAAAGTCTCTTGCAAATTGAACGACCGCCTGTAGAAAGAGTTTTTGTTTGTGTGTCCTTCCTCTCCGATAGTTGGCTCCAACTGATTAGCTGATATTGGAAGCGCTGCGGCCCTGAGGCATATTAAGAGCAGCGTTTTCATTACACACAATTTTGAGCTGATGAAAGATTGAAACAATCAATGTTCCTCACACTGCGCCCGTAGAGCTATGGGATTTCTGTCTAATCAAATGGATTTTCGTTCATTAATAATTATTTCTCGCGTACAGAAATTATTTCATTAATCACAAAACTGTTTCTATCACTGGGCATGAACGCCAAAGTGTGAACAGAGAGAGGAGATGAGAGCAAATATCCACAGTAATATCAGATCACTCACTGATAAAGGTCATCTCTGGCATTTTCATATTCCGCCGCTGGAAGATAATTAAATCAGCTATTTACATGCAGTGCAAAATAATTTCTCCCAATAGCTCTGGACTCTGCCTTTTGGCCGCTCAGATCACACTGCTAAATCCTTGAGCCCATAAACCCTGCCAGGCTACGGTATATCATGGCATTATAAAATATCCCTACGCCCCTAAAAATGAACAGGGATGAACAGATATGTAGGAGCCGAACATCCTCCATGGTTTGTACACTGTTTCAGCCAATGAAATTCTACATTGTTGTTCAGTCACTGATGCTAATTCCTCCATGTGAAGGAAACTGTTGTGGCAAGACTGCAGCATGGAAAAGGGATTTATTTTATTTTTTTAAATAAAGCATTGATGTCAGAACTATGGACTAGGGGCCAGATCTGGTCCGTGCGTGGGTTTCATCTAAACTGCTTTGTCAGTGGGTTTAATATCACCCTAAATACGATCACAAAAATCAAATGGATATATTAAACAGCAAGCAAACATTGCTAACTGTCCGTCATTTACAAAATTGAGGTCTCTTATTTGTCCCGCAATTGGAACATTTAGAGTGCAAGTCTTTGCAATCCACACAGGCTGCCAAAGGAGGCGCCATTAAGTATGTGGATTCTCTTGGGCTTGAACACAGGACCTTCTGCAAGTAAGGCAGACTTGTAAGGTAGGCACGGTAACTGCTACACGTCAGGTGTGTGTTATAGAGTAGACAGTATGAATCTGCTCCTCATCAACAGAGAGTCATATATTTCCTATCAAAGGAACACTTTCTTTTACTTTAATCCTTAATCTTGCGCATTGTTTTTAAGCTATTTTCTTGAGTGTTGGATCAGGTAATTGATTACTAAAATTAAACCTTTTTTTACTTGTTCAGATATGAAGCACAAAGGAAACTTCTCAAAGAGTCAGTTGGTCTTTTTATTAATTAAGCAAAGCAGCGTACCCTGTTTTATATCCAACTCTAAAATGTTTGGTACCGGTTCTAAGAGAATACACAATAATCAGGCGTTTTCAGGATGAAGGAAGAGGAAGACTTGTGAGGGCTAC